GCAACCCCCGCTTCCGCCGCCTTGTGGTATGCCGTTCTTCCGAGCTGCGTTTCGCTTGCCCGCCATGATGGCGTCAGCCTTTTCGCGGGCCAAGTTGGACAAAACCACTTCGCTAGCCTCGCAGTAGCCTGTGTTCTCCGCGGCTTTTCTGCCCTTCCTCTTGCTGTCCAACAAGGTGGTGCGAAGCTTGATTCCTCGTTCGTGTGGGGACCACTTGTGGATAACCTCGTATCTTGTTTGGCCAGCATACATGATGCGTGTACATTCGCCAGCGGCAGTCACCGCTGGGCCCTGGCCGCGCAGCATTTTCAAGCCCGCTTCCCACCACCACTTTTTGTCTGACCAACTTTCTGAGTGGCTCTACCCCCCCTAATTCGACCAAGCGGAATCGATTGGCGACGATTCCCGTGGCGAAAAAGTTCGGCAATGCGGCGAAAAAAAAAGTTCGGGCTGAAGGGGAACTTTTTTTTTTTGGGAACTTTTTTTAAACGTCGTTTTTGGGCGTTTGAGAACGATCGAGATCTGCGAAGTCAATTTTTTTTTTTTTTCTTCTCCGAGGTGGGAAAGGTGATTCGTCTTTAGCTCGGAACCCGCCACGAGTTAAATGTAAAGACAACAATAAAAACAATACACAACATATATTATGCATATATCCCCCTCCGGGTAGCGGGCAGCTCGCATGGACCTACCTCTTAGACTATCACACCCTAGAATGCTCGGAAACCCGCGTCCGCACTCGTTCATGAATACTTCGAAGTACATCTATAGTCCAACCAGCTTGTTGGTTGGGCGGCGAGCAAGAAGAATGCCTCTTTCCCCATGTTCTTGAAGTTCGACCAAAAAAAAGAAATGGGGAGACGGACCCTCTGCCCCGATATCCGACGTAAGTAATGCGTGTAGATCCTCGCCAAGCTGTCAAACCCCAGGCATGAAACCCGTGCGCCCTCTACGGTAGCTTCAACCAGCGTGAACCCGAAGTGGGTCGTTGCCTGCTGCACATCGCCACCAACAAAGAGGGCAAGGGTACTTTCGCCTTTTCCCTTCTTGGACATACGGTAGCAGGTTGGGACCTTTGAATGTGGTCGACCGTACACACACCTCCATTCCCGCATCTTAGCTGTCTTGGTGCAGAGAGACTGCCGTCCAACCAATGGGCGTGAGCAACTCGTCCCCATGGCGGTCCGACGAGTCGGAAGAGAAATTTCGCGGGAGTGAAGCTATTCTACAATGTTCCGCCACGGGTTCACCTACGAGGACCCCTCCTGTGGATGTGCTACAGCAGCTGGCTGTGGTGCGACGAGAAACTTTGAAAGAGGAGGCGGCTGGCGGGCAGCGATAAAGGGGAGGTGCTCTATGCCGGAAAGAGCAATCGTGTTCGTGCGATGATGGTACTCTTTACGAGAGGGTCCGCGGCACTGCACGATTATCCCGCGATCTTGTCCTAGCGTGCCCTGTTTCAGGAGAGAGACGTTGCTGCATGTCATCCACGTCCAACGGCGTCAGCCAATCAAAGAAGTTGAGGATGGTCATCCTTGCCGCGGACCTCTCTTGAACAGTTGTACAGCACCGTCGTATCATCCCACACACGGATGCTATTGCTGGCACACGGCACCTTCGCTATCGCTGTACGTCAGCCGCTAGCTCTTCCAAAGTTTCCCGTCGCACCACAGCTAGCTGCTGCAGCACTGGAGACTGGTTCCTCGTAGGTCAGCCGGCGGCGGAACATCGCAGCTTCCTTCCGGCGAAAAATTCTCTTCCGACTTTTCGGGCCGCGATGGGGACGAGTTGCTCACGCCCATGGCTTGGGCAGCGGTCTCACCACACAACTACCGGTAAGATTCGGAAGTAAAGGTGCGTGCGGTCGCAACGTTCGATATTGTGTATGTCTGCTATGTGAAAGAAGAGAAAAGTAGACGAAGTGCAGAGCTCTCGCCTACGAAGTAGAAGTACATTTGTGGCGGTGGTGAAGTGGTGGTGTTAAGGAGTGTGGCTGCTAGCATGAATAGGGTACCTCTTATTGTTGATAGGATGCGGGTCTGTCAGGAGATAAACCCTTCTGACCCCCCCTTAGAATCGTCTACTCTGTGTACCCCCTGAGATGAAGTTGGATCTCCACTTCATCTCAGACCCTTGCTGATCGTCTCTCAGCAATAACAAGCAACTTTCCCATCTCAACGTGGTCGTGGACAAGCGTGTCAACGACCGAACCTTCATCTATCTCTAGGAACAAGCTACCGCCCACGGCTTCACTCCGTGAAACTTGGCGTCAGCTGGCATTACACAGTAAGGGGGTGCTGGACGCTGGTTCCCATAGTACCGCCTCGCCGCACGAGAAGGAGCGGGAGGTGGCGGCTTCCCCGACGAACGAGAAGGAGCGGGAGAGGGCAGAGACTCCGGAGTTTTCGGCGACGTTGGGTCTTCCGGCCGGTGCGAAGACGGAGCATCGTTTGCGGCCGCAACCACGGTTTACGACTTCCACGTTGGCGATACAGCGTTCCTGTCCCGCCCGCTGGAGATGCCTGCAGCAGAAGTATCGTTCCACGATGAGGACAAACTGGCAGCTCTTTTTGCATCGGCTGGCATGAAACAACTCGTCCATGCGCAATTTCCCAAACCGCACACCGTTGCTTTCGGGCACATTTAGCATACCCCGTACATCGCGAAACTTCCGCCTCCTTCGCGGCAGTCCGTGTTCCGGCTTTTGTTCGCTCTCCGTCGTGCTACCTTTGATAGCGGTCCTCAAGGAACGTCGGTGGTGACCGAAGATGGAGGACTCCAGCTGCCTCTTGCTCGTGCTGCCTCCAACCAAGATTTCAAGCACGATCTCCACGTCCCCCGGCAGGCCTCACGTCCTGCACATGTTTCTGGAGGGAACAAGGATTACAGTCGGTCGGCGGCTCCTGCGTCTAAAAGCTGGAAAAACCGTTGGGGTGACCAAGATTCGACGGCCAAGAGCGGGACGGACGACCGCCGCTGCTCCACCCAGTCTTCGCGAGGGCGCGGCGTCGGAGATAGCGGGCGAGGGCAAGCCGTGGGGAACGAGCCTACCAGGTCTTCGCCGGCGAGCCGCCATCGCCGGAGCAGGAGTCGGAGCGCAGAACGTCAACAGCGCACCAATCCTTCGTCTAGGCGTGGGCGCAGCTGGAGTGGAGACCGTCGTAGGAGAAACACGCCTTCGTCTAGGCGTAGCCGCAGCCGGAGCCAGAACCGGAGCGGGGGCAATAGCAGGGCGATCAGCACTGACAGCAGTCGCGCCGGAAAAGGGGGACGGAGGTCAGGCCACGGTAACAGGCAAGTGATGAATGATCGGGGTGGTTTTCGTAGCTCTGGGTTGTTGGGGTAATCTCGGATTTGAGACGCATCTAGATTTCGGAACGAAATCGGGAAGAGTCAGATATTCCAGAAAGGATGTTGGAAAATGACCCCACCTAGTTCAGTCCCCTGTTTCTATCCCGAAATACGCCAGAGCAGAGAAGGAGGGACATATTCGAGAGTCGTAACATGCCGCCTCGCACCACGCGGCGCTCCACGGCGGCGGCTTCGGCGGCTGCTTCTTCTACAACGGCTTCCTCAGCGGCGGCGCCTGCTTCCTCAGCGGCTGCTGCCCCGGCGGCGGCTGCCGCGGCCTCAGCGGCTGCCAGCGCGCCGATGGGACCGTTTTCCCCGCCTCCGTCTGGGCTTCCTCCCCGGCCCGACCGCCAGACGGCCGCGTTTGTGGACGCGACCACGGCGGCCTACGCTCTGCCGTGCTACACGGCGCTGGTGCCGGGAGCAGGGGCAATGCTGGACCTTGGGCGGGTTTTCGACCGCAACCGCCTCGGTTGCGATCAGGGGAGTGTGGAGGAGTTGGCCCACCGTTTGGGTGAGGTGGCTACTCGGCTGCCGCCCCTTCCGGGGGCGGAGGTCTACACGGCGGTTTTGGCACGCGCCAGGATGGTGGCCACTTCGCGGGCGGGCGACAAGTCAGTTGCCTATCGCCAGGCCGAGGCGAAAAAGCTCCTGGCCGAGTACATCGTGGAACTCGCGCTCCGCCATGGCCGCCTCCTGCAGTCAGAAGGCTGTGTGCTGTTGGAAGCAGTAGAGGACATCGTTTTGCCTGCCCACCACGGACTTTCAGCGGCGCGGTCCGCGGCGGTAGTGCCATTTGCGGCTGCTGCCGCCCCAGCCGCCGCCCCGGCGACATACATCTCCGATGCGGAGCTGGCTCAACGGATGCAAACTCAGATTGACCTTAGTGGAGGGCCGGGCGACAGCAGTGTGAGGGTGGAGAGCCCGAACGAGAGGGACGACCGCGAGCTGATCGCTGTGCTGACTCGAGCGCACGAAAAACCAGAGGTGCGTTGCTCAATATTCCATATCTAAATAATATGCCAAGTAGTTTGAAAAAAAAAAAAAAAAAGGGGGGCTGCTGTACGTTGTGCGAATCCTCACGCCCTCTCGTGCCTTTGAGTACGAGCTACACGCTCTTCTCTTTGGAAGGCTACGACGAAGGTCTGGTCGTACCATACTGGTTGCTCACACTGCGATGTCGGGGGTGCATGTGTACCGTACGCACGTCGGAAGTAATCCTCCTTGGCACGGATGCATCTACGTGTATAGTCTAGACTACATCTGTATTCTGCGGACACTGGCAGTATGCATATGCATACGTGGCCTACGTAATAATATGTCAGCCTCATGGCGTGTCCACATCAACCAACCAAAGCTCCCTCGGTAGACTTGTTTGGTGTTTGTCACTGCTGTACACACGCCGCTGTGATTGTCAGCTGCCTCACCGCTACCATTGTTGGCTATTACGCCATTATATGGCTATCATTGCACAAGCAGTTGCCTCATGACGAAATCCCTGCACGACACGCTACCATCATCGGTAGATTTGTTTGGTGTTCGCTGCTGCATACACACGCCGCTGTGTTGTCAGTTGCCTCACCGCTACCATGTTGGCTGTTACACGGTGTTGTATGGCTAAAATGTTTCACCAGCAATAGCCTCATGACGAAATCCCCCGGCAGACTCTGCCTATAGCATACGTCGCTTGTATAATCGCACAGTCGGTAGATTTGTTTCGTGTTTGTCACTGCTGTACACACACGCCGAGGAATTGTCAAGCTGCCTCACCGTTACAATTTGTTGGCTGTTACGCGCCGTTGTATAGCTATCATTGCACAAGCAGTTCGTTGCCTCATGACGAACTCCCTGCAAGACACGCTGATGTTTCGCCCGCAGCAAACTCTGCCAATAGCATCCGTTACAATTGTTGGCTATTACACGCCGTTGTTTAGCCATCATTGCACAAGCAGTTCGTTGCGTCATGACGAACCCCCTGCAAGACACGCTGATGTCTTGTCCGCAGCAGGCTCTGCCTACAGCATACGGCTATGCTTGCGACTCATGAAAAAAAAAAAAAACTGCAAGACACGCTGATCATGTCTTGCCCGTAGCAGACTCTGCCTAGTCTACGGCATACGCCGCTATGCTCGCATTGTCGGTGGATTTGTTTCGTGTTTGTCACTGCTGTACACACACGCCGATGTGATTGTCAGCTGCCTCACTTTTACAATTGTTGGCTATTACACGCCGCTGTTTAGCCATCATTGCACACGCAGTTCGTTGCCTCATGACGAACTCCCTGCAGACACGCTAATGTCTTGCCCCCAGCAGACTCTGCCTGTAGCATACGCCGCTATGCTTGCGACTCATGGAAAAATCCCTGCAAGACACGCGGATGTCTTGCCCGCAGCAGACTCTGCCTGTAGCATACGCCGCTATGCTTGCGACTCATGGAAAAATCCCTGCAAGACACGCTGATGTCTTGCCCGCAGCAGACTCTGCCTGTAGCATACGCCGCTATGCTTGCGACTCATGGAAAAATCCCTGCAAGACACGCTGATGTCTTGCCCGCAGCAGACTCTGCCTGTAGCATACGCCGCTATGCTTGCGACTCATGGAAAAATCCCTGCAAGACACGCTGATGTCTTGCCCGCAGCAGACTCTGCCTGTAGCATACGCCGCTATGCTTGCGACTCATGGAAAAATCCCTGCAAGACACGCTGATGTCTTGCCCGCAGCAGACTCTGCCTGTAGCATACGCCGCTATGCTTGCGACTCATGGAAAAATCCCTGCAAGACACGCTGATGTCTTGCCCGCAGCAGACTCTGCCTGTAGCATACGCCGCTATGCTTGCGACTCATGGAAAAATCCCTGCAAGACACGCTGATGTCTTGCCCGCAGCAGACTCTGCCTGTAGCATACGCCGCTATGCTTGCGACTCATGGAAAAATCCCTGCAAGACACGCTGATGTCTTGCCCGCAGCAGACTCTGCCTGTAGCATACGCCGCTATGCTTGCGACTCATGGAAAAATCCCTGCAAGACACGCTAATGTCTTGCCCGTAGCAGACTCTGCCTATGGCCGCTATGCTCGCATTGTCGGTGGATTTGTTTCGTGTTTGTCACTGCTGTACACACACGCCAATGTGATTGTCAGCTGCCTCACTTTTACAATTGTTAGCTATTACACGCCGTTGTTTAGCCATCATTGCACAAGCAGTTCGTTCCCTCATGACGAACTCCCTGCAAGACACGCTGATGTCTTGCCCGCAGCAGGGCCTGCCTATAGCATACGCCACTATGCTTGCGACTCTTGGGAAAAATCCCTGCAAGACACGCTGATGTCTTGCCCGCAGCAGACTCTGCCTGTAGCATACGCCGCTATGCTCGCACTGTCGATAAATTTGTTTCGTGTTTGTCACTGCTGTACCCAAACGCCAATCAATGTGATTGTCAGTTGCCTCACTGTTCACTTGTTGGCTGTTACACGCCGTTGTTTAGCCATCATTGCACAACAGTTGCCTCATGACGACATTCCATGCAAAAAAAAA